ACTGGGCTATGATGCTTGAACTGAGCCCAGGTTCTACACCTTCGGTTTTCCACTGCGACCTTCGCATTCGATTGGGGTTTACCGCGACTGGCATGGTCATGGACTTGTTTCGATCGCCTTTTGAGTTGAATTGGTTTATACTGACACAACCTGTCTTTGTTAATTCAGGTGACAGACTCGTTGAATGCCCCTTTGGTTATGGTTGGTGAATTTGGGCTATGAGGTTTTATAGCTGAGCCCTACACTCTGTTAGGAAATTGGGGTAATGATGTTGTCTTGTGAATTTATGCAGATGGTATGCTTCCTTTCGAGTTTCAGCCCCCTAATTCGAACCTCCTTCTGACGGTGGCATCTTGAGCATGAATTTACTTGATAATGTCCCCAAAACTTATTTACTTGATGAATGGTGTTCTAATTTGCGGGAGTTTTATGCAAATGCCCTCCCGGATGATGGTGAAGTTTTCAGTTGGACCTCAATGGTCCGAGGCGTTATGGTAAGATTCGATCGACGATCGATTAATGCTGTTTTGGGTGATCCTCTGACATTGACAGGTAGCCAGATTGATGACTACCACCGGGACCTTAACAAGCATCGTTATCAAGAGGCCATGACCAGAGACCTATTAGTGGAAGGCCGCGAGCCAGTGCGCAATTCATCTGGGGTTGTTGTCAGATATCTGAGAGCTGACATGAAACCATTGGTACAGCTTATCTTATTGTTTGTGCTGACAAATGTTGTACCAAGGTCCCACCATAGCTCGGTGCCCGTGCCTATTGCACACCTTATCCATTCCATTCTGCTGAACGTTCAGATCGACATTGCCCGCATCATTGCGGATGAATTACGGGCTGTTGTGCTTAGTGGACGGGGCGGGATAGCGGCTCGCAAAAATGCCCCGCTAGCTTTTCCTTGTCTGATCATGTCTTTATGTGCTGAGGCTAGGGTAGACATTCCTCAGAGAAGACAGGTTACTATCCCAGCCGCGATCGACGACAAATATGTGGATAAGTTCTGTAGAGTCAAGCCCGTAGCTGGTGCGAGTTCTGGTGCCGATACTACTGCTGGTGGACAGGCCAGTGGTCCTGCCGCTTCTGATCAGGCATATTCTTCTTTTAGCCCTTTCCATCAGGAAGTCTGCAACTATAACTGGGATTGGATGGCCGCTCAGCAACGAGCCATGTGTGATATTCATGATTCGATGCAGATGTTGCAGCTTCAGATTCGCGAACCCGCCGGCACCCACTCTATGATGACAAGGGAGCAATTCCTTGCACATGCTGGATGGCCTGTGGACAGGCCTAGTTTTGGTGGGGGGGGATGATGCTGATGATGATGCTGATGATGATGATGCTGAGGATGATGATGATGATGCTGAGAATGATGATGATGACGGTGGAGATGAGTATGATTTGTCTGAGGAGGATTGATTGCTCGTTTGTTTCGTTGATTCACTTTGAGCTACAAAGTGAAGTTTCCCTTTTTATGTTATAGTTCATTCGGTTATTTTTATGATGTACTTTGTTTGTTGTGAAGTTGTTGTACTTGTACCTTTCATGGTACTTCTAACAGTATTGGTGTTCAGCATTTTTTTTATGGTTATGCATTTTATTTTTATTTAATTGGTTTGAGTTTTTAATTATTTAATCTTTGATATTAAGTTTTCAGTTTTAGTTTAATGTTGTGCATGAATTCTCTCAAGTGGGACGGCGATGATAGTATCGTTACCACAAAGGTGTTAACAAGGCATTTAGTGACTTTATTCTAGAAAATGTTGAGGAACTTGTTAGTTTAGGAACAACTCTTGAAACTTTGTTTCGTTTTGCAACTTTATTAATTGACATGTCATTTAGGTCCTTTACCACAAATGTAAGAAGCTTCTTGTTCTATGTACAAATGCTATGGATGAATGGTGAATTTTGTGTATACTTGTAATTCATACTTTGTCTTTTGTTTCGTATAATTTTGTGGAAGTTCTTGAGAGGATCAAGGCACTTGTTTCTGTTGAGCACAATCAGTTCTAAATTCAAATATGCCTGTGAGTTGTGAGCATTCGTAAACCATTTTGAGCCTAAACAATTGAATCCTTGCTTGAAAAAAAAAAAAAAAAAAAAAAAAAAGCAAGAGTTCAAAAATCTTGTTCTTAAAACCTTGGAGATTTTGATTCATTGTTCTTTTGCTGAAAAAAGTAAGAGCATTCACTTAGGGGACGAGAACAGACAAGTTGGGGAGAATGAAAGTAAGGTGGTCAAGTTTTCACAACTATTGAGAAACCAAGCAAGCATTGAAAAGAAAATATATAAAAAAAAAAAAACACTCGTTTTTGCGATTACAGTGTAAAAAAAAATAAATATATATATATGAAAATATTTGCTTGTTTGGTAGAAAAATATTGAAAAACAAAGTTAGTTGTGAAATATGAGTTGTGAAGGGTTTCAAATGAGGAACTTGTTAAACAAGTTGAAGATGTGTAAATAAGTGTAGAGCGAATGTCTCTCCTACATCGGAAATTTCGTTCAATGGCTTTAGATATGTCCCTTGTTTGTTAACCCGGCCAAGCTACAACCTTTGAAGACCTTTGTGATCTTGAACTTCCATAATTTTGTGGTGAATATGTAGATATTTTATGAATTATGTAGTATTGCATTGTTCATCATTGGAGTGAATTTTTGTCCCACGCTTGCACGCGTGTTTTTGCTTCAATCCTTTTTCGAAGTGGAGTGTTAGAATGACTTGTCATGAGATTTAGTTGTTGCTTGAAGCATTGTTTAAAATTTGTTCTTAGAATTTAGTTCTTAAACATTATCTATTGTGGAATTATGTAATATTTTGTGACCTTGTTGCACATATTGTGTATTTGAGCCATATAGTTTCACTTGAATTGAATTGGTCTTGAGCAAATCCTCATTTTGTTTTGAGAGGCATACTTTGCTTGAGGGCACGCAAATAGGTAGTTGGGGAGAGTTGTTAGATCTCATTTAGATTAGATATTTGGTTTCTTTTTGGTAGTATTTTCAATCAATTTTATCTAATAATGTTTGATTTCGTAGTCGAATTGGTTTAGTTTCATTTTATGCGATCCAAGCGAAGAATGTTTGTAATATTGCTGTTAGTGTGCAAGATTGACACTAATAAGAGCACTTGGGATCAAGGCAAAGCAGTTGGGAGATGTTGCAAATCAAGACATTCGCCTGGCGAGCCACAGCGAGTGCCAGCGAATGTTCGCCAGGCGAGTGCCGGCGAACTGGGGCGAATAAATCAGATTTAACTCCCAGACCCAAAGGATAGGAAGTTCGTCAGGCGAAGGTTTCAGCGAAGCTTCGCTACCATTCGCCTGGCGAAGGTGCTGGCGAAGAAGTGGTAGCTTTCCTCATGCAGATTCCAGTAGCAAAACCACCCAAAGTTCGCCTGGCGAGTGAAGCCAACGAATGTTCGCCCGGCGAGTGTTTATTCGCCTGGCGAATGCACGATTCCTAAGGGCGGTTTGCTGATCAGAGGCACTTTGAAGTGCCATGTTAAGTTGGTTCGCCGGGCGAATGAATGCCTTCGCCAGGCGAATGTGCGCAGACAGCACATCATTTTTACTTTATTTGTTGCTCTATTTAGCCCATACTTGGTACTTCAAAAAGCATCATCTTGAAAAATCAAAAGGAAGACATTATTGGATAGCTCTAGAACCCTAAATACTTGAGTTCTTCTTCATCTTTACTATTTTTGTAATCAAGAGAAGTGGAAGCACATCCTTCATTGTTTCTTCAAAGTGGATGTTCTTCATCTTCTCCTTTCTTCTTGTTAAAGCTACCATGAAAATGTGTAGCTAAACTCATCTTTTGTCAAGGTTAGATGTAGGTGATTATTAAACTTTGTATGTGTATGGATGATCCTCATTTGTAAACTCTTGGATGATTAATATATGGTGAAAACTTTGTTTCATTTACAATCTTTTGTGTTGGTTGATGATTGAGAAATATTTTCCAACTCTAGACCTAGGTTTTCATCCTTCTCTTTTCTTGAGCTAGAGATAGTCTTGAAATGTTTTGTTCACTTATAATGTTGAACTTTAAAGTTGTCATTTGATAGATTGTGTGAGAGATCAACAATGGATCAAAATGGTAAATCTCACAATATGAGTTAGAGATAATCATATTGAGAGGATGTTGTGGATGTATTGATCATTAAAAGGAGTTTGTTAAATGTTGATTGGAAATATGCATGCAAAGTGATTACCGAACCCTAACTTTGGCAATATTTATTAAAACCGTTCAAATCATTATTTTACCGCATTTATTACTCACATGCAAAAGTTACCATTGTTTTAAAACCAAACACTTTGTTACTACAAAGTTACGAATTTAACAACTGTAGAAAGGCTGCAAAATTTCATATTCCCTGTGAAGACGATAACAAAAACCCGACACTTAACCACTGTTTTAACAAGCCCAACACGTGATTTAGGATAGGCTTTGATAACATCTCAAAAGTTGGGTTGGGCCTAACCCATCCCTATCATACCAAACGGGCTTGTAGGGTGGGGATGCCCCCACTTATAAACACAACACCGGCCATATCTATAAGCAATGTGGGACTAAATCCAACACAATGGAGATGTTGAGAGCTGCAATGAAGGCAAGTCAAAGTGACACAATTAACACGACTAGGGATGGACCGCTGAAAATTCCAACATATACTAACAAATAGACCACACCAAAAGGAAACTAATTTTGAGGCGAGTATTCCTTATTTGAATAATAGTTGAACAGCTACAGACAGTAAGGCATTTTAAATATGGGTTGTGTGTATTAAGAATCCGGAGATCATTAGCCTCACCTACTTTTCCACTATAAAGTGGTCTGGTTACTTAAGGACAACCTCCTTTATTTAGGAATAGATCCTTGTTTAGTCTGGAGTGCGTTTTGGTTTTGTACCTTGGATATCCCATTAATTAGATTTCGAAAAAGTGACTAAATATTATGTTAGATAGAGAGATTAGGCTCTATAAGAATTACCTGCATATCCCTGAAGTGAAACATAGAAGAACCAAAAACATTGCATTCCTAGAGAAAGCCGCAGTCTCGCCGCTTTGTGCCGAAAATATTGATGCTGCCAGTATACTTGGCATGGTGATTTCTGAAAGCTGCAGCAGCAGATACAAAAAATGCTAAGCAATAAATGTTAATATTAATAGAATGGAACAAAACAGAAGAGAGGTGATGAAGCTACAGTGCTACACATATATCATGCCGCATCAGTCACTGAAATTATCATTAGTAGTGCCATTCTTAGAGCCATTTGAAGTTCCCTGGGCTAAAGTTGATGCAAAGCTGATTTGCATGAACTTTAGCCTATTCTCCTTCACACCAGGTCTTACATCTTCGTAGCCAAAGATTAAAAACAAGATTAGATTTAGAATATAATTGTGAAGCAACTTAGAGAATTCACTTTTGATCCATCAAATGAAAATAGACCTAGTGACTTGTCAGAGTTAATGACCAAGTCTAATTACTTAAGTGACTAGGCTAAGGCATTTTAAACCTTTTGAAAAATCCCATTAAGCTAAAAAAAGGTCATGTGATTTACGCCATCAAAAATCTTTTAGCTTTAACATGTAAGCCTTATGAAAAATTATTGTTGTTATTGTTGTTGGTTTTGAATTACATTGTTTTAGTATACCGATAAATTATACAGTTGCTTATTTGTATAAAAACATTGGCTTGTTGGCAACCATTAGAGCTTAGGCCTGTTTAGAGGTAAACCTGTTGCCTATTTAAAGAGGTAAAAGGGTACACCAAATTAAAATAGCTCGGATTCAATTCAAGCTTTGGTGTTTTAAAAATAAGACAAGAACATCTGAAGTAAAACTTCATCTAATTTGATCCATTTCCAATAAATTTCAACCCATCATCTATCTCTCTCAATCATGTGTTAATAAATACTACTAGCATGCTGCATGTCAGCAAAAATGTAGAGGGCCTCAAAAGTGAGTTTGGAGAGTTTGTTGGAGCTCCCACGGTTGACTGATGGTATAACCAAATTAGTACTTACAACTTAGCGTGTGGTGGACAATCCTCATCCTCTCGAACTCTTTAGTGGTTACTGTTGAATTTGTGATTATGGGTCTAAATCAGACTACAGTCATCTCTATTTATAATAGAAATACAAAATAAATACAATAAATATTGATTGATATGATTTACTAATTATAATCCTAATAATGAGTATTAGGATTAGACTCTAACACTTCATTTCAAGCTAAAGCTTATTAAAAAAGTTGATATGATATTTGGTCTGGTGTTGTCCTTTGCTTGAAACAACCAATTTAATTGTGTGATCGGCGTCGGTGAATCAACTTGATGATAATTGATCAACGGGACTATAAAAAAGAAAAACTAACTTAACTTAGGTGGAACATGTCATCTATGACTGGTGCCAACAAATCAACCTTCACATTTGTGAGGCGAAGGGACTACCAGAGACTTGTGTTGGGCTCAATGACTAGAGAGCTTACCATAAGTTATCAAATTGAGACAAGGCAGAAAGCACGCTATGAATGAAAAGATGTTCAAAATCGGATCAGAAAGAAATATGAACTAACAAGACTGTTAAAGTGTCCCACGCTGAAAAGGATATGGTCTCAATATATGTTTATAAGTGGGGAAATCCTAACCTTACAAGTTGGTTTTGTAGAAATGAGTTAGGTCAAATTCACATTTTAAGAAAGACATTAATACTGCACCGAATAATTGCACTCTATAGAATTTACAATAAATGAGTTAACAGTACACAAGGTGTGAAAAATACCTACACAGAGAAATCCAAATGCCAAAACAGTGCTGACATTAAATCAACCCGAAAACAAAGACAAAGAAGCCATGATCAATCAATGGATCAAAAACCAAGAAACAAGAGATGTTTGAAGATGAATCTAAGTACTCAATAAAAAATTGATATTAGATCCAGAACCTCGACAGAAAACAACGCAGGAGACCCAAAAAACTCGTCACAAGACAACAGAACGTGCACGCATCTGCGACTGTTAACAGTGGCGTGTGAGTGAAAATGAGGAGGTTGTGGAGTGTTGGGAGCGTGCATGGGACAGCGAATAATGATGGCGCTTCAGTGAATGGGCAATATGATTTGAGTGAATCTAATGGTAGGGTCAGTATGGCATGTAGGGTTGTGTATGTTGGACAGTTAACAGAAAAACTAGATGTGAGACTGAAGGTTTTGGTTTTGGCACCATACCATGGGTTCTGTTGACACCCAGCAACCAAAGTAAGAAAAATAAAGCAGGTTTAGCCTTGGCGGTGGCTGAGCCCATGGACAATGGACTGGGATTTTGAACCTTGACGTGAAAAGAGAAAACTAGTACTATCATATTCCCAACCAATTTGGGAACTCCACAACGAGTACGGACCAACCTCTAATACCATGTCGTGAGTCTGTGATTATGTGTCTAAATCAGACTACACTCGCAATAGAAGTACAAAATAAATATTGATAGCTATGATTACTAATTATAATCCTAAAAAAAATATTAGAATTAGATTCTTTGATTCTAATAGTTACATACATTGATTTCCTTTGAAACACAAGCAGGGAACATACAGCATTTCATAGACAAAGTTAGTTAGTGTATAGAAAAACTCACAGCAGCAATGACAAGGGACCCAAATGCCACGACTGCAACCCACCGCTCATCGGCAACTAGCTCCAACATTCGTCGGAGAGCGAGCTTAGCCTCTGCCGGTTCTGCATGGTCTTCCCGGTGCTTCGGTAATGACCACCAATCGCCTCCTGGTAAAATGGAAACAATGAACTCGACCCCATGGAAACTAGAGGAATTATCTGAAGCGCAACGGGTTTTAAGGCTCCTAACGCTGTTGATTTTGGATACGGGGAAGGAGAAGAGAAAACGGGATTGGGGTTTGTAGTGGTTGGAAGTGAAGGTTTGGAATTTGTGAAGGTTGGAGTGTGGGGAGGGAAGTATATAGGAAATGGAGGCGGAGGAGGAGGATGACATGGTTATATTGCATATGCCAAACTTATGTCCTCCGTGTGGAAGACCACTGCTATAGGTTGTAGTTTTTGAAAGAAAGAAATATGAATTATCAACTTAGGTTTTAGATTCATGATGATCATGGTTTAAAAAAATAAAAATAAAAAACTAACTTTCTAATGCGGTGGTGATAGTTATAAGTGATTGCTAAAATGTTAGCACTTTAGTATTGTATAAGTTTTAGGTAGAACTTTGCAAGTAGAAGAATTGTATATGGGTGTGATTACCAGAGTAATTTCTCTTTAGTTGTCAATCGTTGTTTATTAGCATGTTTAGCGTGTATATGTGTATTAGTTCCTTTGTTAATCTCAAGTCTTTTAGCTCCTTAAATAGCAAAGAAAATAGACGTTGAAGATGCAACAGTAGAGTTCTTTAAAAAGCTTCAAAAGAAAAGTTGGGAGATGTTAGGATGTTTCACCAAACTATTATGTTAACCTTTGCTACAAAAGGAATTAACAGTTGTATCCCAATAGACTCTGTGAAGAAGATAGAGTTTTACCCTTCACGTGACAAAGTATGTTTAGAGATGACAGTGACATATCAATGTCACCTTGATCCTTGCACTTTGACTAACCCAGGTTCTAATCAGAAACAAACTTCTCCAAAGTCTGATCTTCAGAGGCTGACTCTAATATTTGGATGGTGACCTCTATAAGAGTAAGATTTGTCTCTACAGGATTATCTTTATGTTTTGATGATAACAATTGAGTATTTGTGAAAGAACCATTTTATGGTTTAATGTTTGTTATGTGCAGGTCATGTTAAATTAAATATATAAGATCAAACAAACAAAAGCAACGTGTGCAGCTAGTATATATGGACTTACTATGTGTGACGTCATGAAGCGCTTAGTGGAGAAGCTAGTTTGCTTATGTATCTGATCACATTCAATAAAGATCCAAGGATGCTGGATATTGTTGTTGCAATGCTCTTGTAGATTCTGCTCTAAAGAAGTGAATCTGATCTGAAAGCAAACGAAGCTTAAAGTAGAAGCAAGTTTGTTTCTGTATTTAATCATGATCAGTAAAGAATCAAGGATGATGGATATTGCAGTTGCAATGCATCTATGGATTCTGCTCTGAGTTATGCATCTGATCTGGAAGCTAACGAGCGTCTCTGAAGAGTGAGTCCTCTGAAGAACAAAGTGTTGAAGACTCTGATGACTTGAAGTTCTGAAGGCTGAAGGCTCTGAAGACCAAGTGCGTCAAGACTCTGAAGACTGGTTTTGAAGGTCAAGACTCTGATGACTTGAAGTTCTTAAGGCTAAAGGCTCTGAAGACCAAGTGCATCAAGACTCTGAAGATGAGTTCTAAGGTCAAGACTCTGAAGACGGGTTCTGAAGGTCAAGACTCTGAAGATGTTTTCTGAAAGTCAAGACTCTGAAGAAGTGTTCTGAAGGTCAAGACTCTGAAGATTCTGAAGACATGGTTTCTGAAGAATTAGTCATAAAGATTCTCAAGATTGTTTCAGAGGAAACTCAGTTCTTAGAATGTTGAAGACTGGATTCTGAAGTGGAAGATTATGTCAGAAGAAGATTCATCCAGATGCAAGACATGTTACATCAGATAAGTTGTTGCTGTTCAAATATGATAAATCATGTGCTTATGGAAAAGGACAAGAAAGTGATATCATCCAACACGTGCTCATTCTATTCGTTGAAATATGACCGTTGGAAATAGAAAGGACTTTTCTATCCTCACAATGTCATTCTTGGAAGCACTATAAAAGAATAATCATTTGATCATTCAAATGTCGTTGGGTTGCTGAGTCAAGCAACGCTGTTGCTGTTAAGCTGCACTATAAGAAATAACATTTGATTCATTCAAATGTTACCATGCTAGTAAGCATGAAGTGAAGAAAGAAAGAAAGAAGAAAAGCTTAAATGAAAAGAAACCTTAGTGCTCACACACAAAAAAGCTTTTAAGCAATATGGAAACTATGTTCTTATAATCTCTTAGAGATTCATCATTAGATTAGTTTCTGTATTAGGAAGCAAGGAGTTGTTGCTCAATACTTGTTATGTGCTTAATTAGGAGTAATACGCTTGATAAGAAGCACTCATGTAATCTCCGGCAACACAACATTCTATTTTAGAATTAGTGGGTTCCTCAAGTGATCTTGTGAAGATCAGTATACTTGAGATGAAAAGTGACAGTAGTCATTTGTGGAAATCCTAATAGGAGATCTTTAGTGATCGGATTCTATTAAGGTGTCAATGAACGTTATATCCTTGGGGATCCCTGAACGTGTCATTGATTAATTGTTAGTCACTCGCGGTTAGCTTGTGCATATATGTAATCAGTTTGGTTATAGTGGATTAAGTCCTTGCTTAAGTGAGGCGAAATCACCTTGGAATGGTGGACTGGATTAGCTTGAGAGTTGCTCAAGTGAACCAGGATATATGTTGTGTTCTTTACTTATAGTATGCTTTATTATTATGCTTCCGTAATGCATTTGATATGAGCGCATAAAGCAACAAGTGAAGAAGAAGATAAGAAAAGGAAAAAGTTTTTATTAAGGCATAAACCCAATTCAATCCCCCCCTTTCTTATGTTTATTTCACACCTTCAATTGGTATCAGAGCTCCGGTTCTGTTATTGATGGATATCAAACACCTAATAGTGTCACATAAAGATCTATAGGCTGTGTGAAGAAATACTTTTGGGGATTTTTCACTGTTCTTACAATTTCCGTCTCATATCAGATTTTGAGGATAATGAGTACTAAAATTGTAATCCATCTGGATACCTTGAGCTAGTCACTGATTCTGTGAAGTTTGAAGTTTGAAGTGTTGAAGCTTTCAACAACAAATCTCCTCCATTAGATTCTGAAAGGAGAATGAAGAATTAGCTGACAAGATAAATTCATCAGATAAGAAGATATATCTGTTGAATGTTGATCTTAAAATACGTTTGGATTTTCAACGTATTTGCTCAAAGTTCAAATCTTCAGCAAACAAGAAATCTTAATTTCTAAAGATTTATTCTGGTGAGTATGAGATGTTTTCAAGAAACGGATTAGTCCACACTTGATTTCTCATGAAAACTCATTGGGATTTATCTTAAGTAAGAAAAGATATATTGTTGGCTAATGAATCATATTCATCAGAACGCCAGAATGTAGTCTGCAGAAAAGGGCAAGTTCAGAAGAATGTTCAAATCTGGAAGAAATGACTCTTCAGATTCAAAGCATTTGAAAGTTGCTATTCTTGAAGAAGGTTCAAAGAATTCTGCAGAGGTTTCAAGATAAGCAGTGTTTATCAACTCATCTGGATATGATGAAATTCAGAAGATCTGATTTGAAGAAGCATGAACAATTAAGTTCTGTTAACTTGAGATGTTATCTCAGTTGAACAAACTGTAATTGATCAGATGTTTTCAGGCATTATTTTTTTATAAATTCTTGATGAATGTTTTGAGAAATAAAGTTGTGTGGAAAGATACAAGGACAGTAGTCATTCTGTCTGAGGTAAAAAGGATTTAAGTCTCTGGTGTTATTCAATCTGAATAAGTCAGTAGATATTCTTTTTCAATAGCAGATGTTAAACTCTGTTGATCTAACTCTTTACAAGTTAGCTCAGCATTGTAAGAGCAAAATTGTCAATCAGACTGTGTCTCTTGATACATCTGAGTTTGATGATAATTGTATCTAGATTGGATCTGTATTTGTTTCAAGTAGACAAATTCAGAAGATGAAGGTTGATGGAAGTTAGGTGCTCTCTACTCATGAAGATCAGAATATTTGTGCTTTGAGGATATCTCTCATGAATCAGATGGATGTTGTTGTGATTAATGAAGATGTTGGAGAATCAGAAGCAGATTGTGTTCCAACTGAAGAATCAGAAGCTACCTCAGATGCTACTCAATTAGCTGCTTCTGAAGAATCTACCTTGAGTAGTTTCTCTCAGAGTCAAATCTTCTCTTCCAGAAGACACGTTCATTGGAAAGAAGGATGATTCCAAAAGAACAAGATTCTCTCTTCTCAAAGCTAGTTAGCAAGAAGTTTTTGACTACACAGAAGACATATGCTTCTGTGACAAGGTTAAAATTCATACTCTTGTCAATCTCCTTTGTTGATCAGTATAACATCAATATAAATCAGATGAATATTAAAAATATTTTTTAATGGTTTTATTGAAAAGGAAGTATGTGTTAATCAACTCCCAGTTTTGAAAATAAAAATTTCCAGAAACTATTCTATAATTTTAAAGAAATTATTCTTGGCCTAATACAAGCTCCCAGAGCATTGGTATAAAAGGCTAAGTAATTTTCTGAAAAATTATTTTGTCAGAAGAAAAGTTTATACTACTCTTTTCCATAAATCATTAAGGAAGATATTTTAAATCAGTCAAATTTATGTTGAAATATTTTTCTATGGAACCATATACTTTACTTGGAAAGGAGTTTGCTGAGTGTATGCAAGCAGTAGTTGAAACTAGCACTCTAGGAAAAGAAGAGGCTAGTGAAGGCAGATCAGTAGTTGTACAGAAGGTTTTGTAACACTGATGTTGAAAAAGCTCTGTCAATCAAGACATATACTCCTTCAATGGTTAGTGATTCTGAAGCAAAGCTACAGAAGCAAGGCTACTGAAGTAAAGAATCAGAAGCAAAGTGTTGCGGTGGAAATAGGATCTCAAACTATTAATGAGTTTGAATCGCAATTCAATTCACAACCGCTCTTTGATTTATCCGAAGGAAAAGGTCAAAAGAGGGAAAACCTATTTTTGCATCGTAAACACAATGCGGGGGAAAGATCTAGGGTTCGGGGGTTGGTTAAATTTAGGGAAGGTATTAGCACCCTAAACTTTTGTAGTACTCTACAGGAACCTTTTGTTCAATGCTTACTATTTGCTTTATTTATTTGCTTAAGGTATATGTACAAAGGGTTAAAAGTGAGAAAGAGACCTAAGGGGTTAATTCTAAGTTTACTCGGCAAGACATCGCATCTTGTGCCTACGTATCCTT